TTCAACCCATTTCATACTAGGTAGCTCAGGTTTGCGGCTGGCCAGAGGGCTCTATATTGTCAGTTTTGTTTGGTGCAGTTTGTACACAGCGGTGGAGGGGGGAAAGCGGCTCCAGAGGGGGTACAGCCCCGGTTGGCAATATGAAAGTAGGAGATCAGAGGATCTCCGGAAAGACTGAGCTTGGTTGCTCGAAGTTGATGGTGATCGCTAGGAAGATTGCGAAGTCTGTTGGGGTCTTCAGAAGAAGAGAGAGATAGTCGATTGCACTCTTTGTGTCTCGCGGGATTAAGCCGGGTTTGTTCGGCCAGTTGTCGAATTGGGTGCGAGAGAGTGTCGGCAGAGCACCAGGTGCTCAGGCTCTTTGCTGTATCCGCAGGAGCATTCTGAGGTTGACGTTGTCGTGCTGAAAGCGTCGATGGTAGGATGCAAAGTCCCTGTGTCCGGTTCTGAGCACCACCAGTCGCTGAAGAATAGAGCGGGGGAGGGCAAGTTCCTCAGGTTCCTTGACTTGATAGCTGAGGTGCCAGCAACGGTATCGGCCGGCGCGAGGGTAACCTCATTTCGCTTCCACCATCTCTGTTCTGCCCCTCGTCTGAGGGTTCTGGCTGTTGAGCTTATCCCACTGATAGTGGGAGCGATGAGTTGTCGTTTTCGATGTGACTGCTGGCAAGGCCCAGATCGGCGAGCCGATCGGCCCTTCTCGTTTCCAAGGATTCCAGTATGTCCAGGCGACTATCGGATCGCCACTTGCCTGTTCCTCATAATCTCATGACAGCGCAGAAACGCCATTGGGATGAGTCGGAGGCGTTGCCCCTAATACACCAGATGACTGAGGTGCTGTCGATACACATAGTGATCTGCCCCAGCCGGCTCCAGTCGAACAGCGCGCTCCAAACCTTTTAGAGCACCCACTACTCGGCGTCGAAGACGTGCGAGAGCGGGTTGATCCGCCCCATGGCCGGATGCTACTGGAAATTGTCCCCCGTAGATCGCGTAGCCGTAGCCGACTATCTTTTTGCCCTCGGTAGTATTGTTCAGTGCCGTCTGAGAAGACTGTGATATAGCTATCAGGCAGACAATTCCACCATTGTGTAAATTCAAGCGTGGCTGCTTCTTTTCTTCACGCCTCCTGTAGGATCGTTGCGGCTCCCTGCGGAGAATTGCGGTGGGGAGAGTATTGGTCTCGGTGATTTCGGGAATCAATCCGGCTAGTCTGCGGAGGTTGGCAGAAATGAATTATATTATAACTACTTTCTAGAATATATTATAATACAAAGTAGGTTCGCTACACCTACAGACGCTTTCCCGGCTCACTTGTGATAAAGCCACTAGTACTAGGCTTTTATAGAATCTTTTGACTATATTAAACTATCTATTGTATAATTACCTTCGAAAGTTCCGGCCAGGACCAAAACCATTTCTTCACACTTTCATTCCTGTTTATTCCTTAAGCCTATCTGATACCTTCATTATATTTTTTGCCCTATAATATTTGATTATAGACCAACACACACATCCGTTTTCTCAAGCTATATAAACAGTATCGCTATTGCTATCATTATATACTATACCTTACAGCTAGTAGTTGTTTTGCATTACCTTGCTAGATCTCTCCTATACAACAAGGCTGACTATATTTTGCAGGCTTGCTATTTCAGATCTTTAGCCAGACAGCCCTTCTATAGTATTTCCAACTCACTAATCAAAGCTTTACTTGTAAAATCCATTTCCCTAATGTATAGTTTGTAATCGAAAATAGAGTGCTAGGAGCGCATTGCATATATATATTATAGGATTGACTTCTATCTGAAATCCTCCGCTGCTGTAATACTAATCGAGCATTATCAAGTATAACTTACTAAAAGCATTCTTCCTATACCGAAGCTCCTCCGCCGCCATACCGCTCCCGCATACTCGAAGATAAGATACTAAAAACATCCCTCCTCCTACTTCATATATACTCCCGCCGGCCCCAGTAAACACTATCCTAGCCTTTATATACTTCCTACTATTCCTTTTTCTTATTTATAAATATCCAATCCAGTATATCTATAGATCGTATGTATTGTTGAGTTATAAAAACTCTGCATATTAGTACTCTAAAGATATTCTGTTGATTTTTGTTTATCAAGTTAGAATATCGCTTCTGCTTTAATACAGATTTCAGTTAGACTCAGCTATATTATAAAAGCTTCATTATCCACTATTTCAAGGGCTAGTTCCACTTCGCAATACTCTGCCACGATATGCTCTGGCTCTGCTCCCCACACAGATTCGTAACAGAAATGAATTATATTATAACTACTTTCTAGAATATATTATAATACAAAGTAGGTTCGCTACACCTACAGATGCTTTTCCGGCTCACTTGTGATAAAGTCACTAGTACTAGGCTTCTATAGAATCTTCTGACTACATTAAACAACCTATTGTATGATTACCTTCAGAAGTTCCGGCCAGGATCAAAACCATTCCTTTATATTTCCATTCCTGTTTGTTCCTTAAGCCTATCTGATATTTCTATTATACCTTTTGTTCTATAGTATTCAATTATAGATTGATATATGTATCCGTCCTTTCGAGCTATATAAACAGTGTCGCTATCACTGTTATTATATGCTATACCTTACGGCTAATAATTGTTTTGTATTATCTTGCCAGATTTCTCTTATACAATAAGGCGACTATATCTTACAGGCTTACTATTTCAGACCCCTAGCTAAGCAATCCTTCTATAATGTTTCCAATCCACTAACCAAAGCTCTACTTGTAAAATCCACTTCCCCAATGTATAGTTTGTAATCGAAAAGTAAGCACTAGGAGCGCATTGTATATGTATATTGTAGAATTGGGCCTCTACCTGAGATCCTTTGCTGTTGTAATATCGATCGAGCATTGTCGAGTATGGCTTACTAAAAGCATCTTTCTATACCGAAGCTCCTCTGCCGTTATGCCGTTTTCACGCACTCAGAGATAAGATGCTAAAAAACATCCCTCCTCCTATTCTATATATGCTTCTGCCGGCCTCAATAGATACTATCCTAGCCTTTATATACTTCCTACTATTTCCCTTATCATTTGTAAATATCCGATCTAGTATATCTGCAGATTGTATATATTATTGGGTTGTGAAAACTCTGCACACTAGCACTCCAAAAATGTTCTGTCGATTTTCATTTGTCAAATTAAGGATATCGGCCCTGCTCCTAACACAGGCTTCAGTCAGACTCAGCTATATTATAGAAGCTTCATTATCCGCTATTTCAAGGGCTAGTTCCGCTTCGCAAATACTTTGCCGTGATATGCTCTGGCTCTGCTCCCTACACAGATTCGTAAAGGCATGGTTCCGCATCAATCCTGCTCTCATCTCCCTTTTACCGTCGAATGGTTTTCATCTCCGTTTTGCTGGTAGTCCTCTGTTCCGAGCATCTTCGCGATCACCCTCTGGTGATCAGCTGCGCGTACCTTCGCTCCCAGTACGGCCTCCGATTAGTGTACAACCACCACCCGGCTCCAGCTGACTCTACTTAGCTCTCCGATCGCACGATCGAAGGTTCGTAGGATACACCACGTACAGGTGAGAGTCATCGTATCCCAATGGGCTAACAATATCAAAGTGAATAAGCTTTAATCTTTTTGTCTTATAGGAATTGAGTTATTTCGAAATTAGATTCTTTATCTTGATGAGTATACAAACTTTGCATATAAAGATCTTAAATAAAACTTTAAGTGGCTTTTCTAATATAATAATTTTATAAAGATTCCGTATTTTCTTTAAATTAAAATAGTTAAATCCTTTGTATCATAATAAATAAGTTTCTAGATCCTTTTGGTTTTCTCTAAGGAGCTATTTAAGTAATCTATTTAAACTCAATATTACTAATAATCTTTATACTCAATAGAGCGATATCTTATATCCTTTTGTAATATCCAAGATCATATTAAATTTCCTCTATCCAGTTTTGTTTTGATAATATTTATTCTATTCTTTTGAAAATATATATAATTTGAATTGAATCTACCCTAAATTCAGCTTACAGATCTTCTTATTAAAAAAGAGATTAACTTTTAATCTTAGTTATATAATATTTTTAAAAGTAAAACTATACCCCTATTTTCCAGTTCCTTATAATAGTATCTATCTAATTATAGTATATTAATTCCTCTACCGACTTTTATTATCTTTCTCTTTATTTTCTTAATATTCTAAAAAGGAAAAAGGTGGTTAGATATGTATAAACAAACACCAGTATCTATATACTCATAAGAAGAGGTGATCTTACAGATAAGCTCTTTAGATATACGGCACTCTTCATTATCAGATTCTTCTTCCACTTTCTAATAAATCGAGATCAATTGGAAGGCTTTCGCTATCTGTAAGGTGAGCTTGGTTACTCTTCTAAAGAATAACCACTTTGATTGTCTTTTTAATATTACTTTTTGTTACTAGACTTTATAGTATTTACAAATCAAAGCTTATGTGAATAAGAGATCTTTGTAATTATATAAAAAGTGTCCTTTTTGTTTATATAGATAATAACCAAAAGATTTTACATTATCATTTTGTTTTTGCTTTTCAAATAAGCTTAATCCTTTGTATTCTCTTTATCGATCCGGAATTACATACTTTGTATTAGTGATGTAAGTTGTTCTATTTCTTAATACTAAGTTCTTTAACTATAAGATACTTGATCTTATTTTTCAATTACTAATGTGCTTTAAATACTCATAATATCGATTATTATTTGATAATCAATTGGTAGATTTCTTGTAAAAACTAAAAGAGAGTTTGATTTTTATATAAATCTTTAAATACAGAATTTGTGACGATTGCATCATTTAGAATACTAAGGTGAAGAGCTAGAAGAGCTCTTCGGAAGGAAGTGGTAATATACAGGATTGTGGATCACGTGAGGACCTAGCCGATCCACTAATATGACAGGATCGTCACACTACCCCCCCCTTCTGAAAAGCTCGCCCTCGAGCGTACTAATAGTATTCTAAATACGGTTCTCCAATCCAACTATATTATGATCTATATTCTCTAATACCACTAATATCTGGTCCATAGTTCCAATACTAGTTCCAATATTGCCTATAATATAATTCGTAGCGTCGTCGATCGCTTTGCGGAAGTACGCGTTTTGCGGTTTCATCGCTTTTGCGAGAGAGGCTTCGAAATCAATAGGAGGAGGTTTCGAGAGTTGTTGAAAAATAAAATGAGCGAAAGAGAGGAGATCCGCTTGAAATGCGTCTCTTGTCGGTGGTGCCGATGGAGCGGCGGAAGCGTTGGTGGAACGCGGATTGGCCTGGCAGATCAACTGAATAAGCTGCTTCGTTGCGGCATCGATCGTGCGAGCGTATTGATGCTTCGAATCGATCAGTTCCTGCAGTTTGCGTGCTAGGTTCAGGATCTTCGGATCCATTGTCGATAGAGCAAGGAGACTCTAAATGATGTGATAGTGAGGTATCAGCTCGTCGGTGGGTGAGGTCCGCAGGAGCGGAGCTAGGGAGAGGTCTTGATCGGAGGTCGTACGAATGGTCGTATCGGGGAGCGGGCGTGGAAGGCAGTAGGCATTCGGCGAGCGGGCTAGCGATAGGAAGCTTCGCATGAGCGATCAAGAGCTTAAAAAATTTATATGACCTTAGTATAATGTGACGATTTGCATCATTTAGAATACTAAGGTGAAGAGCTAGAAGAGCTCTTCGGAAGGAAGTGGTAATATACAGGATTGTGGATCACGTGAGGACCTAGCCGATCCACTAATATGACAGGATCGTCACAGAATTGATTGTATCGAGCTTGTGTCGATATTCCTTAAACTTGTTTTAGACTTTAATAATAATTATCTCCAATTGATTTAAGGATTTGAAGGTAAATGTCTAGATTATTATTAGGTACAAGTTTACTATAATATCACTTATTCTCGAGTATTTAGATTTTAAATAATTTCATAATATATATATTATATCATATTCATTGGTTAGCACTTTATTGTTATCGCTGAGTAATCTGCATATATATAAAAATGCATTAGCTTTATTCTTTAAATATACAATTTTCTTCTCAATATTGAATCTGATATATATTATTATAACACTTTTAATAATCGAAAAAACCTTAGTGCTATTGTGAGCGAAACTTGGTACTGGTCACGTGACCTCTTTCTGTAGCTAGTATTTATAGGTCTTCTTTGTGTAGTTTAGAGAAAGCAGTCAGTTTCCACCTATCTTCTTGTATGTTTTGTGACGCGTTATGTAGAGTCTTCTTCTTCTTCCTTTGCCGGAGGCGTTACGTTTCAGTGACTTATTTGTAGTATTTATAAAGGACTATTTTATAACTTTATTACCTTTTACTCTTTTATATTGATGATCTATACAGGGAGAAGAATGTTAAAAGGTCAGGAAGTTGTATACAAACCTGAGCTCTTGAATTGCTTCAAAAAGCAGAAAGTCATTGGTTTGGAAAAGTCGATAGGAAATAGGGGAACGCGGAGTTATTTAGTATTACGGAAGAGTCGGATGATGTTAGTTTGATAATGGATGGAGAGGGGGAAAAACAATCTCTTTCTTTCAAAACCGATCTGTGGTCTTGTATAAGTCTGAAATAGGATAGTGTTATTCTTGAATGGATTATATCTTATTATTATGGAAAAGCTATAAGAATAATTCATGGGAATCTTTTTGATAATATTTGTAGGAATCTGGATAAACAATCTGATTTGAAGAGAAAAGTTTTTTCTTACAAAATAGATCTAAAAAGAATTGGGCAAGATTCATTCCCTATATTCAGGTATAGAAAATTTTGAATTCTCTGAGAAACCTTTTAGCTCTTCGATATTGCTTATACTTAAATAGGACCTGATTGTTTCAAGAAACTCAAAATAGTCTATAGTGAGGTTGGAGGAGAATTGTTGTTTAATTTAAATAAAAGACTATTTATAGAAAAGATTTATTCGGCTCAAGATCAGAATATCCAGAAGTATTCCCGAGAGAAACCTGTGGTTGAGGCTCTCTATGACAAGATGCTAAACTATATTTTTTTATTTTTTTTCCTCTTATAAGGTTTGAGGGAATAGGAGTTACAGAGAATATAACTTTGCCGAATTTTGGCAAAGTTATTAGGAGAGGGAATGAGAAAATCTGTACTTATATTGTATACAAAAGTACTGTTTATTCAACTACTCAATCACTCCTCATATTATATTAACACAATCCTATACAGAACAACAATCAATCAATAGCATATCTACTCCTGATTTTGGAACTAAGTTTCGGAATGATAATCTATTTATTGCAGAATCTGAGTTCTCAAACTTATTATTCGGTATCGATACTATCAGTATTGACAATCAAGAAAAGGACTCTCTGGAATCAAGTGTAATTCCAATTGATTGAAAGACAAGTGATAGCAAGAAACCCGACAAAAGTTTCGATCCAAAACAGATAGAAGGAAACTTTAGTGCCAAACAGCTCGCGGCCTGCTTGAACTATTTCTCCAAAGCTCTTGTACCTTTAGTTCCTTCTTCTGAGATAACTGGAATGTTATGGTTCAAAGGTTTCAATGCTACTGAATGGTGTGAGGGGATAGAATACCTTCTTCGGAATTATCGAATGTAAGCCGAAGACTTTTGAATGTGTATACCTCTTCAAATGGAACACTCACTTCGAGAGAAGGTTAAAGCTATAAAGGAATGGCAGGCAGAAGGATGGAATTGGGAGAAGCATTTCAAACCTGCTTTTCTTAAAGAGTATCTCAACAACGATCTTATTCAGAAAATATACTCCTGTAATTATTTGCAAAAGCTTATCAAAAAATATAAAAAAGAAGGAGGCACAAAAATTGAGGATCTCGATTGCTATACTCAACAATTTAATTAGATTGTATAACGGCTTATCAAGAACAAAGTCTCAACAAAAGCAAAGTTACCGAACTCTTTCTCAGAAGTATATAGCCCAAAGTCTCTCAAAGATGTATCACTATAGTCAAATATGATATAAAGCAATCTAGTACAATGAATTGGGACAGAGTATATAACTAGGTAATACAGTATACGGAATCTGAATCTCAATATATCCTCCTTAATACTAGCAATAACAAGGATTCTGATTTCAATGAATTACTGGAATCTACTACTCCAGTCAAGAAGATACAAGAAAAAAAGAAAGTTCTAGTGGTTCAAAGGATGGATAAGATAGAGAAAATAACTAAGGCTTTGAAAAATCTCACATTCTTTCTAAAGGAACAAGTTATAGCAGAATCTAAGATTAAAGAAAAGATTAAGACAAGAAGGATTCTTTTTAATTCTAATACTATAGAAATACCTCAGATTGCAATCCGTAAGCCAATTCAGATTTTCTCCCCTACTATTATCAATATAATTACCAATAATACTATTATCAATCTCGAAATATTAAAAGCTATATATTCAGTCTATAAGAAGATATACTATAATTATAATAATAAATAACCTGAAAATAAGAAATATAATCTTAAGAAAGATTATCTAATCTTTTGAGAATATATTAAAAAAGGATTTATATATTACAACAAGATAAATTAATTGAATTGGAAATCTAGGGACAAGTCAGATAATCCTATTCCAGTTATATATAACAATAAGAGCAGCCTAAATCTAGTCAAGAAAATCAGAATTCGAGCTTTTCAAAATAACTGGATAAAGTCTGAGAAAGATAAGGAGATTATACAATTTGTGAATATAAAGAATGAATTAATCAATACCCTAATGAATAATAAAATGTATACAATCCAAGAGTATATTAATATTACAGAAAATGTATAAAGAAAGCAAGGCAGATTATTATATAACAATTCAAATAGAATAACAAAAATATATCTAAATATCTTTTCAAAACCTTTTACTTTACTTATAAATAAAATCCTTAAGTTCAATTGTTAATAATCTATTGTTAATATATTGTTATAGGGTATTATATAAAAAAGTTCTATAGATATTTAATCTTACAATATAGAAGATTCTATTATAAAGATTGTAATTGAAAAGGTATTAGATAAGATTAAGAAATTAAGGCGGAGAATAATCTCTTATGTAATGAATAATGGTTATAGCATGGTGGAAGCTGTTGATTGAGAGATACTTTCAATCAAGATTCCAGTTATCATAGGTTTTATTATCAAGGAATACCCTAATATATAGAAAAGGTGGACTATAAAGGTAGATGATTTAATAAGACTTTTAGTATTTGATAGTTTTATAATAAAAATAATTAATAAACTTCCTATTCCTTTTAATTGATAGAATATATTAGAGTTCTAGAAACAATTCATCTAAAAGTTATTTATAATACGGTAAATATATCCTTTTAGGATAATAGGGAAAACCTTTCTCATGTTAGAGTATTTCTTAATAATTATAAATCTATCAAAACAATCCCAGATTCCGGATTGATAATCAATTTAATCGATATTAGTCTAGTGATGAAGCTGAACCTTTCGATAAGTTTAGTACAAGTTATGATTATCAGTATTAGCTTTACAAAAATAAGCATTAAAGGACTTTGCAAGGATGTACAAGTATCTCTTAATGGTGTGTTAAATATCATCAGTCTATTTGTAATGAAGAATGTATATAATGATTTACTTTTAGGAATGCTATGGATTATTACAGATAAAGTTATTTTTATATATAAAAATGAAAGCTAATACATTACGGTTATAAATAATGATAGAGAGAACTAAGCGAGTATATAATATGCTGAACAAAAGATTTCCATTTCTTTTCGCTTTACAGGAAACTAGAGTCTGATGCTCTCAGAGGGTAATATGTTAGAATGGATATAAGTTCCTTATTAAAATATAACTTTACCAAAATCTAGTAAAGTTATATTAGATTATATATCAATATTCTATATAAGAATAAAACAATCAAAATACTTCCTTTAAGTTAACCTGGGAACCTGATAGATAAAGGATTGGGAGGAAAAAGCGATTAGTTAAAAAGATATAGAGAATAGAATCCTTATCTGCATTTATCAAGGAAATGGAAAGATTATCTTATCCCTCGATTTAATAAAGAATTGGAAGACTATTGATTAACTTCAGAAAAACAAAAAGAGATTGATTTTAGAAAAATACTTTCTGTTTAGAAACAAGAATTATTATTTACATATTTGCTAAACCGAGAAGGAGCTTTCGTTTTTGATTGGATTTATACAGGACACATACAGGAAGAAGTAGCCTCTCCACAGAAAATCCGGATTATCCCTTACAAAGTATAGCAGACGCCTGGTTTTCCAGTTCCAAAAGCTTTGGTTGAAATCGTTTTGAAAATGCTTTGTAAGAGAATAGACCAAGGAGTTCTCGAATATGCGAATGGCCTTTATAGAAATCCGTGGTTCTTAATTAAGAAAAAGACTTTTGGTGCTTATTGACTGATAAATGTAG